TAGTCAGATACGACCGAATATCGTAGGTTGATTTATGGTGCTTTATTGGGAAACGTGCGATACCATTATCATGTCTGGACTGCATTTCGATAGAAAGTCTTTTAGAAATAATACGTAAGGATGTATCTCAGAATGACAACATCCTTACTTAACTTAAAATAGGTTTAAGTTTCCATAGGTCGTACCAAAAGGGTTTACGTTGTTTCTATCGGGAATTAAATATTGCAGGGGGACACAGGATTGCATTTACCCTAAGTAAACTCCACTGCACTAAATTGTTCATAAACTGATCTAATAACTTTAGTTTATTAAATCATCTTACAACTTAAAACCTGCCTGATGCTTTTGAGTTGGAGAGAGTTCCGGTTTTGAGTTGGTGAGAGTGGTGGAGTGTTTTTTTGGTTGTTTTTGGTGAGAGTGGTATTTACTTATAGTTGTGTGAATGGTTCTTTTTTACAGTTGATGAAAGCGGTCTTTTGTAACTTGTGAAAGTGAGTGGTGCTTTTGATTAAGTGGGAGTGATGTTTTTTAACTAGTTCGATTGATGTTTTGAACTGGTTAGAAAGGTGTTTTTGGACTAGTGAGAGTGGCGTATTTAAACTGGTGAGATTAGCGTTCGAACTAGTAAGGATGGTGTCTTTGTACTAGTGAGAGGGTGTTGTTGAACTGTAAATAGTTGTTAACTGTTGAGAGTGGTGTTTNTGTACACACAGATATATGGGTACACACATATACACGGGTACACACAGAGGTATGGGTACACACAAATATACGGGAACACACAGAGGTATGGGTACACACACACAGATATGGGTACACACATATATACGGGTAAACAAAGAGATATGGGTACACACACAGATACGGGTACACACAGAGGTATGGGTACACACACAGATACGGGTACACACAGCGGTATGGGAACACACACAGTACGGGTACACACAGAGGTATTGGTACACACAGTGATACGGGAACACACAGAGATATGGGTACACATACAGATATGGGTACACACAGTAATACGGGTAAACACAGAGATATTGGTACACACACAGATACGGGTACACACATAGATACTGGTACACACATAGATATATGGGTACACATAGATATATGGGTACATACACAGATACGGGTACATACATATATACTGGTATACACATAGATATATGGGTACACATAGATATATGGGTACATACACAGATACGGGTACACACAGAGGTATGGGTACACACACAGATACGGGTACACACATATATACTGGTATACACATAGATATATGTGTACACATAAATATATGGGTACACACATAGATACGGGCAAACACAGAGCTATGGGTACACACACAGATACGGGTACACACACATATATTGGTACACACACATATATTGGTACACAGTCAGTACACCGTAACATTAAATGGAAGCTGAGCCTTTTGATGTATTGTGATGCTTCATACTTATAAATGTTACAGACGAATTATAATAAATTACATGTTTACTAAAGTGAGTCTTTATAAAACAAAATTAATTGAATAATTTTAGATCAGTCACTACCTTTTTCAGATATATACTTCTCTGCCTTCCTATGTACAACATGTTATTTCACATCCCCTTCTTCATGTACATCGATAACAATAACTGGGTGATTTTAACAATCATCCTTTGCCCGAGACTATCATTCCCACCGGAATACATTTTGTTAATATTATTAAGACGTCTTTTAACACGAATTTTGTAATAATTTAAACCAACACAGTCACTATACTTGTGTCTAATAAGCCCGTTCATAGTTGCATTCTATGTTTTCAAATATATTATAAATTAGTGCAACTGTATAACTGTATATACAGACAAATGTATGAAAGTTATAAATGTCTTTCAAATGTGATATACGATTTGACTTTCAGCATATTTCGAAAATAAACAGGACTTTAACATCAACTTTTAATTAATCTTATTGTCGAACGTTGTGACATTTCATTGTGCAATTCTCCATGTTTTTCTTGCGTTAATTTGAAAAGTATATTGCATAGTTATTGTCTGTACAGTTTTTGTTCCGTCACGGACGTTTTTAAACTGTATATACAATTATACAGTTTTATTCATTTATAATATATACATGTGATAACTCGTATTCCTAGATCATGGTGCGCTACTACCATATTTATCATGATTCCCTGTATTTTACAGATCGTGGTTCCTGTAGCTATATACCATGCCTTCATTCGCCCAGAAGAGGACTATCATCGTTGCTATCGTCGTAGTTTTCTGTACCTTTGTCATATTACGGCAGACTAAAACGAAGACAACCACGGACATCANGGTGTTGTTGAACTGTAAATAGTTGTTAACTGTTGAGAGTGGTGTTGTTAGCTGGTGAGGGTTATGTATTTAATTGGTGAAAGAGGTGTTTTTGAACTAGTGAGAGTGATGTTTTTGAACTGGTGAGATTGGTGTTTTTAAATGGTGAGAGTGGTGTGTTTGAACTAGTTAGATTCGTGTTTCGGACTGGCGAGAGTGGTGTTTTTAAACTGTATAGAGTGGTGTTTTTTACTGGTGAGAGTGGTGTTTTGAACTGTTGAGAGGGTACACACACAGATACGGGTACACACATAGATACTGGTACACACATAGATATATGGGTACACATATATATATGGGTACACACACAGATACGGGTACACACATATATACTGGTATACACATAGATATATGGGTACACATAGATATATGGGTACACATAGATATACGGGTACACACCGAGGTATGGGTACACACTTAGATACGGGTACACACAGAGATATGGGTACACATAGATATATGGGTACACACATATATACTGGTACACACATAGATATATGGGTACACATATATATATGGGTACACATAGGTATATGGGTACACACACATATACGGGTACACACAGATGTATGGTACACACAGAGATACGGGTACACACATATATATATGGGTACACACATATATACGGGTACACACAGAGGTATGGGTACACTAAGAGATATGGGTACACATTGATATATGGGTACACACACATATACTGGTACACACACAGATACGGGTACAAACATAGATACGGGTACACACAGAGGTATGGGTACACACAGAGATATGGGTACACATATAAATATGGGTACACACACAGATACGGGTACACATACAGATACTGGTACACACAGAGGTATGGGTACACAAATATATACGGATACACACAGAGGTATGGATACACACACAGATACGGGTACACACAGAGGTATGGGTACACACACAGATACTGGTACACACACATATGGGTACAAATACAGATATGGGTACACACAGATATACGGGTAAACAAAGAGATATGGGTACACACACAGATACGGGTACACACAGAGGTATGGGTACACACACAGATACGGGTACACACAGAGGTATGGGAACACACACAGATACGGGTACACACAGAGATATGGGTATACACAGAGGTATGGGAAAACACACAGATACGGGTACACACAGAGGTATTGGTACACACAGTGATACGGGAACACCCAGAGATATGGGTATACATATATATATGGGTACACATAGGTATATGGGTACACACACAGATACGGGTACACACATATATACTGGTATACACATAGATATATGGGTACACATAGATATATGGGTACATATACAGATATGGGTATACACAGAGATATTGGTTCACACACATATACTGGTACACACACATATACGGGTACACATATAGATACGGGTACACACATAGAGGTATGGGTACACATAGATATATGGGTACACACTTAGATACGGGTACACACAGAGATATGGGTACACATAGATATATGGGTACACACACATATACTGGTACACACACATATACGGGTACACACATAGATACGGGTACACACATAGAGGTATGGGTACACATAGATATATGGGTACACACACATATACTGGTACACACACATATACGGGTACACACATAGATACGGGTACACACAGATGTATGGTACACACAGAGATACGGGTACACACATAGATATATGGGTACACACATATATACGGGTACAAACAGAGGTATGGGTACACTAAGAGATATGGGTACACACACATATACTGGTACACACATAGATACGGGCAAACACAGAGCCATGGGTACACACACAGATACGGGTACACACACACATATTGGTACACACACATATATTGGTACACACTCAGTACACCGTAACATTAAATGGAAGCTGAGCCTTGTGAAGTATTGTGATGCTTCATACTTATAAATGTTACGGACGAATTATAATAAATTACATGTTTACTAAAGTGAGTCTTTATAAAACAAAATTAATTGAATAATTTTAGATCAGTCACTACCTTTTTCAGATATATACTTCTCTGCCTTCCTATGTACAACATGCTATTTCAAATCCCCTTCGTCATGTACATCGATAACAATAACTGGGGGATTTTAACAATCATCCTTTGCCCGAGACTATCATTCCCACCGGAATACATTTTGTTAATATTATTAAGACGTCTTTTAACACGAATTTTGTAATAATTTAACCAACACAGTCACTATACTCGTGTCTAATAAGCCCGTTCATAGTTGCATTCTATGTTTTCAAATATATTATAAATGAGTGCAACTGTATAACTGTATATACAGACAAATGTATGAAAGTTATAAATGTCTTTCAAATGTGATATACGATTTGACTTTCAGCATATTTCGAAAATAAACAGGACTTTAACATCAACTTTTAATTAATCTTATTGTCAAACGTTGTGACATTTCATTGTGCAATTGTCCATGTTTTTCTTGCGTTAATTTGAAAAGTATATTGCATAGTTATTGTCTGTACAGTTTTTGTTCCGTCACGGACGTTTTTAAACTGTATATACAATTATACAGTTTTACTCATTTATAATATATACATGTGATAACTCTCATTCCTAGATCATGGTGCGCTACTACCATATTTATCATGATTCCCTGTATTTTACAGATCGTGGTTCCTGTAGCTATATACCATGCCTTCATTCGCCCAGAAGAGGACTATCATCGTTGCTATCGTCGTAGTTTTCTGTACCTTTGTCATATTACGGCAGACTAAAACGAAGACAACCACGGACATCAGGGCTGAAAGTTCGGTGATTAAGTTCCTGAAATGGCCAGGCGAGGTAGGTAAAACCACTCACATTGTAGATTAGAATGTAGAGTGTTGTGTTTTAGATAAAGTACTAATTTCGAGATGGGGACATCTAATAAGGAGGAGCTGCATTGAAATTAGTTTGAACTTTGAATAATGTTTAAACGACACAGGTAGCTCCGGACGTGGAACAAAAGATGAATGGATGTTTTTGTGAAAAAATCAGCTAGAGTATCGGCTAAATGGAAATGATTTATGTAATACAAAGCACATAGACATTCGTTTTGCACAAAAAAGCAAATATTTCTTAATAAGGGAGGGAATGTTGTAACAAGGAATATCAAATTACACAGCTCAATTTCGAAGTAAGCAGTTCCTATTGGTAGCGAGTTTATTGATATGAAGTGTCATTTAATTTCAGTTCAATATAACTCAAATTGTTCCCATGGCAATGCAAACAGTCTGCTGAACATGGTGGCTTCAAATATAACAACCTTATACGTTGTTTCATGTTTCATACCACAAATCTAGCAATACTGATTTTTTTAACAAGCCTACCTCATTTATCCTGTAAGCAATACACGTATTACAGCTGTAATTTTTGATCAATGTATGGTTATGTGTGTCTGCTTTATTTTTACGATACGGATTGATCTTGCTTAAACATGTCGATTTATCATAGGGGGAGTTGCTTATTTCCGTAGCAAGGGTGTTGTTTATTTCTTTATAAATCGAAGGTTTAAAGCATGATAATGTAACGCGTTACATATCTGTATACCCTATGGTGTTTTCATGCTGCAGTTGAGTCGGTATTCAGAGTTTGTCCCGAATATCGTAATAGTGGTAGATGTCGACTGCTGACGAATAAACGAACAAAACAATGTTTCCAAAGCTTTAGGTTGTTATAGATTATGGACGAGTTTTATTGTCGCCATCAAAAAGCTCGCCTGGAAATATGCGACCTCTTCGTATGATATGAAGAACTGTGATGTTGATTACGCTGATTAGTGAGCCTTGTGGGTTTGTTGTCACTGTCGTAATTCTCTCGGCTTTCTTTAAATTGTTTCCGTTCATAGCGGGAAGCAGTTGGTTAAAAATTCTTCTTTTCTTTTCCTGTATTATTAGCGTTTTCCTGAAATGAATAAGCTAAATAGCACAACCGTTTATGTCCTACTAACAGAGTGATGTGAAAAGGTATGACTGCTCTTTCGGTCTATGAACTGTTTACTGTCAAACAGATGTTATTATATTGCATTAACCTTAATTTTCAATATAAAATATATACGATATAAATTATAACGTGTCTAAACAGTTAGCGTCTCTACAATTCTAAATTTCCTAAAAACTGTTGTCTGTTAAAATATCTATTATTTACAATTCCATTTTTCATCTTGACGTTTATCATTTTACTTTTCTTTTATATAATTTCCTTTATTTACCGACCTTGTATTGGCCCTAGTGATATTTTCTGTGTTGACTGGCTACAGAACAGTAACTGAATGATTTATTTTGTGATCTTATATCGGTATGTTTCATAAACATTCTAATTGATTCACAAAGACCTCGGTTATGTAGGTTGCTTTCAGGTAATAATACACATTTATCTTAAATCTATATAAGTTTAAAACACTCCTAGTTTGTATTATAGCTTGCACATACTGTGTGTAACACTTTATCTATTTGAGAAAAAAGGTTCATTGTTGATTTTTAAAAGTCTATTATACCAAATATGGTACTTTGGGAAAAAAACATCAAAGTTTCGAATATCATATTTAACGTATGTCCATTTTCCACTACTTTCACTGTACTTTTGAACAATTGTAAACCGTCTTTTTCGATTAATTGATGATTGCAAGATACCATTGTATCATGTTTTCACGCTAAACATTTCGATGCTGGAGGATAACAAAAGGTAATAAGTCAGGATTCATTTTGTTTAAATAATTAAATAAATAAATAAATATACAACATTTGATATAGCGCCCTATCTAGCTACAACATAAGCCACTCCTAAGCGCTTTACCGTACGTATATATACAATTTTATACAGTCAATTCAATTAGCATATATATTAAACAATACAATATTGAGGAATTTGCAGGAGCTGCCTTATCAGGCGCTAACTACTAGTCCTACAAATTAGTATGCCACCTGGCTAATATCTCCCTATGTGTGTATGCATGTGTGTGTGCTTGAGATGTATTGTGTTCCGTTTGTAGTGGGACCGTGCTTCCAACGGTATCATTTACAGTGCCACCTTATTTGAATGCTACAGCACAGATACCGCAACACCCACCACAGACCATTTTATACTCCACCTGGGTTGTTGGAGTTGTGTGGGCAGGAGACAACCACTTTCTCTAATATTCCATGCGTACGGCGACTTCGGGGATCGAACCCCGGCCGCCTCCTTGGAAGGCCTGAGTGTTAACCACTCGTCCAATCCGCCCATAAACCATTAACTTGCTCTCTATACCACCTTATAATTATGTTGTAGTTTACATCGGCAGTTTCTTCTATGTTCAATGGACAATCTATCCCAAGTATGGTGAGTTTGATTTTTCCTCAGTTTAACTATTTTTTGTTCCCTTTTCAAATAACACTTGTTTGTTCCTGTTAAGTATCTTATGTATTTATTTAATCTGTTAGGATTTCTCATTTCAATTAGGATTAGTCAACAGCAAACTACAATTGCTTGGTTTATTGCTTATATTTATATCCTTAAAGTATTTACTATTTTTAACCATTATACCTTTTTGTTACTTACTATTAACCCAATGCAAATGAGGGAGAATAACAGGCCTTCTGTATTCCACTGCATGTTGTAACAGGCTACTAATGTTGGGCTCACAGCAGAATCCGGGGTCTGTTGATGGGACATAGAAGAAACCGAAATTGATCAGCTTCCCCATTGCAACATTTTGGATTATCATATTTTTTCTCTACTACCTGCCAACCGTTTCTTTCCTACTGCCATGCTTTTCAATGCATCACATTTTGCGTTAGTGTTGAGCATCCACCCAAGTGTTGTAGATAATTTGTTTCAGGCGATGTCTTCCTAGGCACCCGTCTTCATATGACCCTGTCTGTTGCGAAAACGTTAAACCACAAACAAACAAACTGTCACCATGCTGAGATATACCAAAATTCTTAAAATGGAAGTTGTTATTTCAATTTCCCAATTAAAGTAATCGGAACAACTGGTTCACCCGTTGTCAGTATAATGTGACCGGGTAGAATGCTGTGTCAGTTGGCGTCGGTATTGTCGTTTAGTCAGGAACAACCCTAATGTCGGCATCAGACACAGGCTATCACAAGAACTCAAATACACCAACATATTGCGTCATATTGAATACGTACTTTGATCGTGTGCAAAGAAGAGTTTGATAATATTACTTTAAATTTTCATAATCAACGTTTTTGTTTTCAAAATTATTGCCTATTGCATATGCATTGATGTGTGTTTGGTAAAACTTAATTCAAAAGGTTATCAGATACAAGACAAAAGTGATGTCTGACTTATTTTAAAGGTTTTTGTCTTCTCTGTGTACCGCTGATTTTTTTGTGACGCCTGTTCTTATTGTTAGCAGTTTTGTTTTAATTTGTCTGTTGTCGTTAAGGAAGCATAATTTGTACGTTCCTTTGTACACAAAAGTAGTAATACTTAGTTTATTTTGAATTGAAGGCCCAGATTCCAGAAACAACTATTCTGCAAAATATGAAACTTGGCGAAATATCAGACCTATATTTCAGGTAAGATTGTATTCATAATCATGACAAGAGATAAACGTTCTCATACTTTATTGCTGAAAGTTATTTGACATATCGCTACACCAACAAACCCTGTCTCCGGTACACATACACACATTGTTTTCATTTCAACATTTTCTTTTGTTTAGAAAACAAATGAATTGACAACAGGCGAGCCTATATAAGTCCTCTCCAATAGGTACCATATATATACAAGCCAAAGTGAATAAAGTAAATACTAGATATCATAGACAGTAATGTATATATTTATAAAGAGAAATAACTTTTAACATGAAAGCATTGATGGTAGTATTACACAAACATCCCGAGAGTAGAATGATTACTTTGGGTAATGTATAATTATTAAATATGTAAACATCTACTCATGCTGCTACATGCTTGCATACCCACACACACACACACACACACACACACACACACACACACATACAACACAAGTAAGTAAGTAATCTACATTATTACAAAGTTACTACATATATATGTCATAGTGAAGTGATAAAGACATACTAAAACCTATTTTTTTCTGATATTTTACTTAAAATGGATGTAATGGCAATTTGCCTATAATTATTTGGATCATCAATAGCTCCTTTACCTTTTTATAGAGCATGAACATTAGCAGACTTCCAGGCTAAATGAATTGTACCAGAAGTAATTGTTTTATTAAAGAGAAGTTTAAGTGGTAAAATTATAGAAGGTAGAAGATGTTTTATTATTTTAGGAGAAACATTGTCAGGCCCAGGAGGTTAATTATCCTTAATTAGCTGGACTTGATCAGTTATGTCTTGATCTGATATTGCAATTTCACCAAGTGTGATATGACTGTGGGGAGGTAAATCCATATCAGAATTGTTAATATTATAAGTATCATAAACAGAGTTGGAAATAGAAGTAAATACAATATTAATAGCTTCTGCTTTATCCAACGGATTAATCAAAATATCATTACCAACTTTAAGAGAATGAGACATTTCTTTTTGATTGGAAAGACCACTTATCGACTAAGCAATACGCCACCACTTACTAGGTGGTACGGCATTATCTACAAGAGAGTGTTGAAGTTTCCTTAGATATGTATCTTAGCTTTTCTAATAAGGTCAATTACATTATTTCTCAAAATTCTAAATTTATGCCAGTCATTTACCTTTATTAGTATGTTTCGCTATTTTATGTAAGCTATTTTTTTTTTACCTTAACTTGGTTCTTATTTCATTAGTCATCCATGGTTTATCATTTGGCTTTATTCTTATTACTTTACATGGAATATACTTTTCAGTAAGCAAGATTTATAAGTATACTATTTATTTCATTTACATTATCAATATGTCCAATTAATGTATTCCAATCAATTGCTAGAAGACATATATTTATTTCATTCAAGTTAGCTTCACTAAATTAAAAAAAAAATGTTTACAAATGATTTTACTTTTAATACTTTATATTATTATTTATAACAACAGGACAGCGGTCACAACAAAGCGGTGATAAAACTTCTGAACTCTGCACTATGTTTAGGTTGTTAACATAGAATATGTCAATACCAGTTGCTGATGTATTAGTTATTCTTGTAAGATGTTTAGTTAAAATTCCTGCAAAATGTGTATTAGAAGAAAGAGAAAGCATATCACCAGTAATAATAACATTACAGTTTACATTAGTCAGAGTATCAATTAAGTTATCAAATTTATTCCACTAAGCAACATTTGAGTTTGGAGGTCTGTAAATACAACAAAGAAAAAACGTTTTGTTAAATGATCTAATTTCTAAGACAATATTTTCCAAATTAAGTGATTCAAGATCAAATCTTCTTGTAGCATGAATATTATCTTTCGTATATATCATGACACCTCAACCTTGCCTTTTCCTTCCTATCATTTCTAAAGAAAGTAGGATGTGACTCTAATTTGAAATCAGTATCATTGACAGAATCATCTAGATGAGTTTCAGAAAAACAGAGAATGTCATTTTCAAAACATTCACTTTCAATAAGTTCAAGCTTATTACGCAAAGAACGCACATTAAGACGAAGAATCGATATATTGCTTAACTCATATATTTCTTGACAATTGGGACCCGGGTTAACATGTACATCACCTGCTCTCAATATAAGAGACACTTGAATAAATTTATAAAACAAGTCATTATCAAAAAACAACAAGTAGATCTGCTGTGTTATCGCTTTCTCACACATACATACACACACCATACACACTGAAACATGGTATTGATATTGTATAAACAACACACAACTTCCTGATGGGAAAACAGGATTACTAATATTTGACCGAGCTAAAACATCTACTTGGATATAAATATAAATATAGAAAAATAAATAATAACAAAATTGTAAAAACAAAAATAAATAATAACAAAATTGTAAAAACAAAAATAAATAATAACAAAATTGTAAAAAAAACAAAGAAAACCAACAAATAATAATAATTAAAAAACATTAGACTACAAATGATATATCATATCATTCAAGAGTCAAAATACAATAACTATAGTGTAATTGATATTTACGCATAAGTGAAATCAACATATTGAATAGCAACAATGTCAGTTATCATATATTTATGTAAATTAGGTACTGATATAATATTTGTCAGTTGAAACAGGGAATGAAGAGCTGATTTCTTTAATCCATTGGATGTTTAATCAAACTATCAAATTAAATTAAATATAAATAGTGTGTAGAGATGTTACAAACTAAAAATAAATAGTTGCATTGAGTATAAGCAAATTGACAGAGCTATATCTTATTGATCATATGATAAATAGGAAAGGGTTATATATATAGCATCAAAAAATTGACTCGGAGCTACATGACAACAAATGAAGTAATTGATCACATGATAAACACTGAATAGTTTTGTCAACATAGGATATCTACAATTTGACTCCAAGTTATATAGTATGTAACAGAAATAACGGATATCAAACAAATTAAAAAAAATAAAAATATTTGCGAGACTATCAACAATTTGGCTCTGAACCAATTGACCTCAAGTCAGAGATCACATTAATTAAAACACTAAATGTAGTTATATTGGTCATATAAATAACATATCAACAATATGACCCAGAACTATTGTCAAATCTAGAAAAAAATATTAATTGCACTCAATTTCATTAGGATAGGAAAATAGGGACAGACCTCTTAAACCCATTGATTATTAAATCAAACTTCAAAATAAACTCAAAATATAGAAATGTTAAGAGTTGTTACAAACTAAAATGAATAGTTATACAGTTAGATTATGAGCAATTTTGCACAGCTATTAATTAATGATAGTATGATAAACAGGATAGAGTTATTTAGAGCATTGGTAACTATGTAAGCATGCAAGCTTACCCTGCACATATGAAGGCACGTCCTTAAATTACCTTAGCTGTAATAGGACGTTAACAAATAAAACCGAACCTAGATATCCAATTTCCAAGTTTTTATTTTCTTACGGTGCATACGAACCATAGTGGTTAGGGTAAGGTGATATTTGAGTCGTAAGTGTTGTAAAATACAGCTTGTGTAGAATTAAATGTTGTACAAACGCGGACGCAATCACTCACTCCGGTGTAGATAGCAAAGATAGCAAACTGTAGACGATTGGTGATTATGTTGACATTCATGCAATGCAGTTGATGTTGAATTCGGTTCAATACCAATTCAATTCATTACCCCATAAAATCGACCATAGCAAGATTCAAACTTAATATTTCAATCAATACGTGTTTTGCAGTAATTGGAACTTGTGAAAGTCCATATTAAGGTCACTTGAGACAAAGTCTCAAGTGACCTATGGCGATCGTTTTTTGTCCGGCGTCGTGCGTCCGAAAACAATTTACATTTTCGACTTCTTTTCCAAAACCCCGGAACCAATTTCAATGAAATTTTGCAGAAACCTTCAACGGTCAACCAAAAGTGTGAATCATATGGTCCCTAGCCCCAAATTGACTAAAATTTAAAAAAACTTCTTCTTAAGCTCAAGATACGGTAAAATCAAATTTTCTTCATAGATGGAAGGGTCTTAAACGTGCTTTACCAAACTAGCGAATTTCATGACCCTGGGGTCTCACGTTTCCCCCTTTGGAGGGAGTACATTTTACTATAGTTTATATAAGGAAATCACATTTTGGATCAGCATTTGCTAAATTTACTTTGGAATTAATTCAAACTTGGTTAGCATTTTCAGTATTGGATAGCAGTTTGATGGTATGCTCATATCAGCCCTGACTGACCCCCAGAGGCTGATGGTAGGGGCCAGAAAGGGTTGAATTGACTGAAATTTCAAAAACCTTTTTCTCAAGACCAAGATATGGTGGAATCAAATACTCTTCATAGATAGAAAGGTCTTACGGTGCTTTACTGAAATAGTGAATATCATGACCCTGGGGTCTCACGTTTCCCCCAGGGGAGGGGATAAACTTTACTATAGTTTAATTGTGAATTATATGATCTCCAGCCCCGTGGAGCCTGAGGGGCGGGGCCAGAAAGGGTCAAATTGACTAAAATTTCAAAAATCTTCTTCTCAAGATCCAGATAAGGTAGAATAAAATACTCTTCATAGATGGAAGGGCTTGAAGGTACTTTACCATAATTCAACTGACTGACAGAACCACTATTTGTACATAGTACATATACTACCCAGATCTTTCACACTACTTTTGCATTATATGTAGTTCAAGTTACCTTTGTTACAAAATGATTTCTTTTTCATTGGGCAACATCAATAACATCAGTTTTAACATAACTCAGGTGACCGTTAAGGCCCATGGGCCTTTTGTTCTATTTTGTCCCAGATTCTGGAGCTTGTGCAAGTCTACGTAATGTAAAATACATAGTCCGTCATTGAAGGACCATCATACAACATGATGGATAACGCTGATAGTTTAATGCAGCCAAATTGTAAGAAACAATTTACAAAATGTTGTCTGGACGACTTGCACAGCCTCAGCTGCGAGTAATCTTTTCACAAGCTTGA